CCCTGCCGCAGTGCGCGGCCCAGTGCGGGGCGAGCCGGGCCGGGCCGGTGGGGAGGCCTTGGAGGCCTTCGCTAGCAGCTGTCGAAGGAGGACGTCTCTGTTCCAGAGGGCCCGTATTGACCCCCCGCCGGTCCCTGTTGTGCAGCCAGAAGATGCGCTTCCACACCTTCACTGCCCTTCACTGGAGCATTTCAGAGACAACTATCTAATTCCACAGAAGCCCGTGGTCTTAGAGGGGATTATCGACCACTGGCCATGTATGAAGAAGTGGAGGTGAGAAATGAGAGTTTCTTCCCTGTCCTGCTAAGGGTGAGGATCGTTTTCTGTGTCGGGTATCTTGATGCTCGTTAGAGCAGTAGAGACCTTCACAGAAGACAGGTGCCATTGGGAGTGACTTTTGTTGGCAGCACCTTCCTGCTGCGATGCTGTCTTTGCTCTGTAGAAGTTGCTCCATAGATGAGGGAAGCGCATCAAACCATCCAGGGCATTACTGCACTGTGAATGCGCTGGTGTGCTGGGGAAACCCAGTCCTGGCTGGGACGCCGCTGGAAGGCAGCCCTCAGCCCTGCCTCCCGCGGCTGTGCCGGCAGCGCTCTGGTGAATTGCTGATGCTGTGTGTTGCTCAGCTGGAAACCAGCGACGAGCATGCATTGCTGACTGTTCCAGTGAGCTCCTCACTTCTTAAGTGGGTCTGTGTCAGACACAGATCAGTGATTTTTACGTCTCGGAACTTGCCGATAACTAGAGCGATGGAATGTGAATTGCAGAGTTGTGTGAGTGAGCATGATTGGCTTTTTCATTTGCAAGTACAAGCATTGATGTTTGTTCAGTGTTGTGTTTGAGTGTTGAGTTTCAGGAGTGAGTAATAACATTGTGCTGCTTGTGGAATGTAAGCAATGGAGCCAACATTTCCAATACTGAGAATTGAATATTTGTGAAATGATTCCTTAGAAAAGGGGAAAAAACGTTCAGTTTGAGCAATTGCTTTCGTTCCGCAGCCAAGGGTAAAATTGACATTAACTGAACGCACTTGTTATTTCATAGGGGTTTTATTCTTTTTGAGGGAAGGTACTTCACTGCTTAACTTCAGACACTTAAAAAGATGGGCTTCTCCATTTAGTTAATATCACTGTCAATGGAGAAATGAATATGACCCGTCAAAGTAATTCCTCTGACTTCAGCCAGGATGGATATTATTGGCACCTGCAGACAGAATTTGGCACTGACACAGAGTTGATCTAGCATTAATGATAAAAAGATACGTTTTATTTAGCAAACGTGGCAGCAGGCAGCAAAAAGATTAGCCATCCGTAGTCAAGAGGGACTAACAGTTTAAATCTCCTTAGCTTATAAGGAAACAGTAATTAGCTGAGGTAAACAAGGTTTTAAAACAAAACAGACAATTGTGGCATAATGTACACACAAACTTGAGTGCTTGTTTCCTTGCTGCTTGCCTCCTTTTCTGCTGCCTTTTATCTCTGGTTGGTTGGTTTTAGAGAGAAGAAACTCACGGTAGTAGAGTTTTATTACTCTAAAAGATTTATTTTGATTGATTGCCTTACATTCAAAATTAGTTAGAAGAGCAGTATAAAAGGGTAATGGAACTTTCTTCATTTCAGTGTGGACTATTTTTGTCAAGTCGCAGGGTGCCGCACCGTCCCCGTGGAATTGGGTACCCGATACACAGATGAGGAATGGTCTCAGAAGCTCATGACTGTCAGTGACTTCATCAACCAGTATATTGTGAATGAGGTCTGTTACTCTCGTTTTGGTTCATCTCCAAATACGGCAGCGTGTAACTGGTGCAGAATTTCTGCTTAGAACAAACATGCTGAGAGGTGATGTCAAGGGAGGGGGTATGCTGTAAGCACAACTCTGAGTTAAAAGGTTTGACATATTTTCAAGATCTGAAGCTACAAATAATAGCTAGGTTTAATTTTTATATATAATCAAATGTACAGCAGCTGGAATTTGATGAATAGATACCTTCTGCAGCAGAAGCCTGAATGGTGGAGTCTAAGGATAAGGGATCCTCAGCCAGCAGTTTTGTTCCTCTTGGTTATTAAACTGCTTAGTGAGATCTAGGATCAAGATCCAAATTCACGTACTGCTAGCTAAAAAAGTAACAAGTTGATTAGCAATCGAATGTCATTTTACTTTCACACCTGAGGATCTGAAGCCCTCATTTCTGTTTCCTAGCCTTCTGGCAGGAAGGACCACGTGCCATTGCAAATTGTTCTGTGGTGCAGCCTGGAATAGAATATCGAGATACTTAGAGGGAGTGAAGGTGAACTCGTCTGCGTACCAGCAGAGTCTAGCTATAAAGACGCGGAGCGTTGTCACAGGACTGACAAGAGAACTGTCAAGACTCCATAGGACTATAGCTAGGCTTCTTTCAGTAACTCAAGCTAGATAATTTGTTGATTGTGGGGATATATGTACACTCCTACAATTTCAGTGTAGCTGTAAATTACTATTTCAGAAGACCCCTTGTACTGGTCAACTGTTGAAACAATTCTAGTACTTTGAAATAGGACATTGGAAATGGATGTTACCTATAAGTAAATTCTACTCACTTATAAGTAAATTAACTGACTGAGAAGTCTTACTCTGGATGTGACTATGCATTTTTTTCTTTTTCTGCTGTAATTTCAGAACAGTGTAGGATACCTTGCCCAGCACCAGCTTTTTGATCAGGTAAAACTGAGTGAATGTTTTTATCTTTCTGCAGTCAAGTGTTCCCTTTGTAGTAGCACAGGTCATCTCTGAGGATGTCAGCTCTACTAGATGGAAGGGCATATGGGGAATTCACAGTATTTCTTAAGTTTCTGTTCCCACAGTTTGAAGGAACAGAGGGAGGGCTTTGTTCTATTTAGCTGAAAGGCACAGAAACAAAACCCTTGCAGGGGTGAAGACATTCAGTCTTAGTGCTGTTTCGGTATAATGTAGCATATACTTATAGGGGTATCACCTGGAAAGCAGCATTTCCCCAAAGAATATGTCAGTCAGGGAAGAGACTTGGATAGGAAACAGTCTTCAGTGGTGATATGTTCACCATATTCTGAAATGTCATTCCAGTTAACCAGAGACCAAAAAAGGAGTCTCACGGAGAAGCAAGCTTAGTGTATAAAACATCAGCTGCTCCTTTTCCATGAACAGCAAACCCACTTATTCTCGTGGGTTTCTCTGGTTTCTACTAAAGCACAGGGTCTCTGCGGAATGAGAAACCCCTTTCTTTCTCCCACCTCTCCTTCCAACAGAATCTGCTTGCTAGGACAGAAAGCATGAGGACATTTCCTGCAGATTCCTAGCAGCTCAGCTGCTTCTCTCCTGCCTTTGCTGGACAAGCAGGTCATTTGTTTTCTTTGTGTCAAGCCTTGTTCCTCTGTTCTATGAATTACATACCTTTGGCAAGTCAGCACATACCCTTTTTAATGTTTATTTCTTTTTATGGGAGTAGATCCCAGAATTGAAAGAGGATATCAGTATCCCTGACTACTGCTGCCTGGGGGAAGGGGAAGAAGATGACATCACCATTAACGCTTGGTTTGGTCCAGAAGGCACTGTCTCACCTCTTCATCAGGATCCCCAGCAAAATTTTTTAGCCCAGGTCTGTACTCTACTTACTCTACACATGCCATTAATGCTATAGCTAGAAAAAGTGCTTATGATGTGTAAGTGTTAGAAACAAGGGTAGCAGACAACTTGATGAACAATTGAAGAATAGAGAATATGCAGGTGGTATTTGGCTATTCTATTGCATTTGTCACTACTGCAACTTAATACTCAGTGTAATCTTGTAGGCCACAAATGCTCCTCATTGAGATAGACCGTTACTTACCCTCATTTGCAGATGGTAAATGGAAATCACAAGAAGCAGCTTTTCCAAGGTCACACAAGGAATTTGTAACGGAGTTGGGAAGAACCTGGATCCTGTCATAATGTACCAAGGAACTTCCTTTTCTGGAACAGCAAGATTTTGGGGTGGACTTAGGTGCATACTTTAATCCACTTCGGGTTACCCAGTAAAATATCTATGTGTGCATGCACTGAGAGTCAGATGAAATAATATTTGCACTGTGACCTCGTTGCTGCTAAGTGAATTACTGTTGGTAGGCTTCTGGATGACAACTTTTAGTGCAGAGTAACACAGTAAAATACTGGGGCCCTTTGTGGTAAGCACTACGCAAGTCCAAAGACGTATTCCTGGTCCATGCAGCTGACAAGTGTACGTCCTCAAACACTGAGTGGTTTTTTTGCTTGCTAGAAGGAGATGGCCGTTTCTTCCTCCATCCCATCAGACTCTTTTAAAAAAAAATATGGCTTAAACTTTCAAACATTTTCCAGCAGGATGATGACATTGAATGCTTTCTACTTGTGCTTATTTATGGGTTGAGCCTTAGTTCCTCTGTCCCAAACAGTTCAGTCTTGCTAACCTGTGTTTTCACTTGGAACTGAGGCTTAATTCAGGCCTTCCTAAAGTGGGTTTTTACAACTGCTGTGCGGTTAGCCCCGCTAATCCGCCTTACACACACACACAACTGCATTCTGAAAGTGAAGTATCCTACTATACACGCTATGTAAAGCCTGAGGGGAACTTTTATGGGTGGAAGTCCGTTATAGGAGCAGTTGGACTGGGAAAAGGTACTTCCCTTACAAACTTAAGAACTCCTATTCTTCTGCCTGAAGAATGGGAGATTATCTGCCAGTGCTGTAAAAGCGTCTTTGTAATTTGAACAGCAGGTGATCTGGCAGTTTTCAATTTTAAATTAAAACTGCTCTGCCTCTTGATGTCATTTAAACAGTGGCTGTGGAGTATGTTGTACGTGGAGTATGCGCAAGTACAAGTAACAAAGTGGAATGATCCCTGCTGGCTGGGTGGTAGCTGCTACAGCGATCGTAATGTTTCCATTAATGAGGAAACCAGTATCTGGAGATGCAGGCTGTTGCCCATTAACTTGTGCGTTCAGCTTTGCGATATACAAGGCCTTAACCCAGCGAGGCAAGTGAAGGAAGGAGCCCTTAATGGCTCACAGCAGTCCAGGTAATACCCACCCCCCAAAACAATTCAAGGAGTCAGAAAACGTGCTGTTGCAGCAATAACCAACATTATCTTTACTTCCATACATCACCAAAAATATCGCTTAACACTTGGTTCTTTAGAGAGCTAATTAATATCCGTAGTCCCTTTGGGGTATGGAAAGCATCCTAAAAACTTAGGGGCAGCCATCGTTACTCAGATCAATGCTCTAGTAGTTTAACTGGTGATAGTGAAGAGTAGGACAGGGCAGGAACACATTGATACTTGTCCAGCCTTTAGAGTATGTTTATGTGCTGTCCTCAAAGCAACAAACTCTAAACATCTAGCATTACAACTTGGGTGTTGGTAAGATTTCAGGAAATCCTGTTCTGTTATATGGGAAGGGATGTTAAGAGAGAGGAAAAGTAGCTTGGTTAGGAATAGTTTGGTAGCATAATGCCAGTACTGTGGTTAGAGTACTGACTTACCCTTTAATGTGATAGTTCCAAAGAAATATGCTCATGCCTGGCCCTTGAAGAAATCTTGAATCCTGGCACAAGCAGCATGAATATTCACCCTGTGCCTTCTGTGGGCATTCCACTGGTTTCACTGCAGGAATCGGCTTTGACTCTTGTTTATTCTGCCACTTCATTCTAGGCACCGATGACTTGCAATTCAGTGTAGTGCTCAGGTCCGTCAGTCCACTTGCCTTATGAATTCTAGTCTTTCCATTAAGCACTCCAATGAAAGATCTGATTTAATGATGACACAGAAACAAGAGCTAAAGGAATATATAGAAGCTTAGCAGTCGCTCTGTGCGGGTACCTCTGGCTGCTGATGTGAACTGCACTGAAGACTCAACCTCCTTATTCTCAGATCTTCTAATTACTTTATAGCTATGTAGAGCCCAAATAACATTGTATAAATTGGATGCCTTAAACTTTGAATTGAAAATTATTTGGTTAAAGGCACTTCCTGGTATTTCAAATTCTTACCTGCTCCAAGGGCCCAGGTACTTGAATTCCAATAGTCTGATTTGGTTTAACTTTTTATTATAGCAGTGCCTGTTTATTACTAACAAAGATAATGATGTTTCCACAGTTTCCAGTAATGCACAGGTTAATGACAGATGGAAAACATTTATTGTAATATATGCAGGTATTTGGAAGAAAGTATATCCGTCTATGTTCACCACAAGATTCAGAAAACCTGTACCCGCATGAAAGCCAAATTCTTCACAACACTAGTCAGGTAAATAGTTGCCTGAAATTCTAGTATCAGGCACGTTACTTTATCAAATCATATTTGAGTAAAGACATTCTACTGATGATTCTTTTGGTTTTTTTACAGGTTGATGTGGAAGATCCTGACTTAGTTAAGTTTCCCAATTTCAGAAAGGCTGCATTTCAGTCCTGTATTCTGATGCCTGGACAGGTTCTGTTTATTCCAGTTAAATATTGGCACTATGTACGATCGCTTGATATCAGCTTCTCTGTCAGTTTCTGGTGGTCATAGCTCTGAAGCATGCATAAAGTCTGTTAGCATTGTAACAGGAATTAAAAATCAGAAAAAGTTTCATCTGGCATCTTCTCACAAGAGACGACTTCTGAAGCATGAGAATGTTGTTCCCTATCCAGATGTTAGAGGTGGATTAAAAAAAACAACAAACCCTTGCTTCAGCACGGTGAAAGAATCTGGATGGGTAAAGGCAAAGAAGATGCTACAGCCACTTTATTTTTGTGGATGTTTCTAATATGAACTCCTCATAAAGAGCATCTGTTAGGTCATCATCTAGTATTTGTGTGTACATCTGAAACAGCTCTATATATGGGCACTGCCAGGACTCTGCTTCAAACTGTATTTGAAACATCAGGTTAGTGTTATCTTCTACTTGGATTTAATAACAGTAAAAATTGGAGTTACATAAACAATGAGGGATGGTGCTACCCAAAGGTTCAATACATTAAAAAAAAAAAAACCTAACACAAAGCAAGATACCAGTCTCCTATATGGAAAAAGTTACTAGTGTTAAGGCCTAGGAACATAATTAATTGTAGTTAATTCATAGTTTAATTGCAGTTAAATAAACTGAAGCTTAATCATACTTTGATTAACCATCAGCTGAAGTGCTGACACTCTTGTCTTCTGCAGTGTCACACATTTCTACCAAGGAAAGATATGCTGCTATTCCATTCTGGTACCTGGCAATATCTAGTCCTTGTCTTTTTTTCAAGTCACTCTTAAAGGAAGAAGCATCCTTACATAAAACTGGAGAACGAAGTGCTAATACTAAAAACTAAAAGAATCTTAAGATGATAATTTTTTTCAACCCTTTGCAGACATAAGCTGCCATTGCCCCAAATTGTCCTTCTCTTTCCCAATCGTTTCGACTGTGGGAATATTCCCTCTTACTGAGCGTAGCTGCTCGTGACCTGGCCTTATGTCATATGAACTCTCCTGTGTCTAAAGAAGGGACAAAAAACAAGCAACAGTGCCAACTGAAAGTGTTCAAACTCTAGCCCTAGATCAGATATTCAGCTGGCCTTCTTAGTGAGGAGACCACAAGTGCTGCATTGATTTTTCACCTACTTGAAGCCCTGTGGAGCTGGTAACAGGTTTCATTTTCAGTTGTGCAACTGAAACTGTACAAATAGGGAACAGTGTTGCTGAGAAAGGCTTCTTTTAATAGTTCACCTGCATAGATCAGCTTGCAGGACTGACTAAAAACATTTGCATCTTTCATTCCCAGACATGCACTGAGAGTTCCAACCCAAGAATATGGAGAACTACATACACAAAACAGCCTCCAAGAAAGCTGTGCAGGCATAACTGTGAAGAAGGAGAACAGAAAGGTCAATGATAGTTTTATTGTAAGATTCTTAAAACTTCAGGAAAAGATAAGTACACTGAACAATGCACTGTTACTAACAGATACAATACAGTCTGGCTGTTCTGCAGGAGTGGGGAAAAAAGATTTCACTGAAAGGAAGTTTTACTATCATCGTCTAGTGCTGGCAATGAAGCTTTTCTCTGCTCTCCCTGTTTTTGATGGTGACTGGGAGTCTATCTGACTCATACCTGTAAAGAAAACAAAAGGAAGGTTAATGAATGACACACAAAAAAAGGATGATGATGTATAACCTCTAGATTTTTAAAATGCTTTATATATTCCTGTGTTCCTCTTCAGAATGTCCAATTTCCCTGGCTAAATAGAGGAATTCTGAAGAGATTGTGCTCTTCATAGAAGCTCAGTATTTCCAGAAGTTTTAGTGCCATGTGTTGTGTCTGTCCCCTACCCGCCCCACCCCTCCACACTTTAACGTTGTTAGAAACAATATGCACAGGATCTGCTAGTGACCATAAGGCATAATCCTAGCTCTTTCAGGGCTCAGTGTTGCCCATGTACAATTTACTGTCTGAAACATACAACTGAAGTCAGAAATAACTGATATTCAGCTACAGTTATAAATAATACAGGCAGTGCCACTGAATATCACAGTCTTTTCTCCAGTATTATTACACTCAATTTTTTTAAAAATAGGTTGCTTGGTACCTGGAATGTCACAAGACCAGAAATCATTACACTGCGGACAGCGTGGTTCAGTCTGAGCTCTAAAGTACTTTCTGACACAAGGTAAATGCATTCCAATTCCACAGGATTCACATACTTGGCTCTGAAATCAGAAGCGTTGATGAAAAAAAACTTTCTAATCTGTCCTTCAGTTTAACATAAAGTTGTTAGAAAAGGTGTCAGATATGCAATGCTTTATTCCAAAGAAAGGTTCACACAGTACAGTTGCTGGATACTCAAAAGTCAAAGCTGGTAAATGATAAAAGGAGGTATTTTCCTGGAAACTAGGAAATACCATTTCCCTATATGGACAAAATTTAGCTTGAAAGACAAACAACACTGAGCTATTTGGGTGCAATAAAGGAGACCAATTGAGATGGAAAAAATAACATGGAAGCATGTTAGTTGGGAAGATGAGAAGATGCAGGATCAAGGAGCAAGAGAATGCAGTAGTTTTGGAAGAGGAGTTCAGGCTGTAACCACTTATGCAAGACTTAACTGCTAACTTAACAGCATGCTATATATAAGCATACATGTTCATTCTGAAGCCCAAGACACAAGCAATTCCTGAACGAAAATCCCAGGACTAAACATGAACGTGTGTCACATGAAGACTGCTATTTGTAAGGTCCAAAGATAAGACAGCTAACGCTTAACTGGTATGCCTATTTAAGGATAAGGGCTTCATATCTCTAGCCTGCTGGCTTTGGAAAGCAAGACAGCACAATAACGTTCCTCATTGGGTGAGTTCGCTTTCTCCAAGTATATACTTGGAGATAGTGCTCCAAGACAAGTTTTTTCCAAAGAAAGAAGATCAAATACCTACACTGAAAAAAAAAAAAGGGGGGGATTTTCTTTATATACATGGGCACCATTACCAGATTACAAGACCAGAATTTGTTCAGTGCCTGCCTAATACTCAAAGGCAAGTATCACACTTCAGCTATGACCACATAAGTACACCGGCAGATGCCTACTGAGGTAATAAAACAAATGTTACCTGGATGGCAAGGCTGTGACAGATGTTACACTTCCTTGCGACATCTTGGTAGTTGCTGAGAATGTATTGTTCCATCTCAATTATGCAGCGAGTGTGCAGGGTATATTCTCCATTTCTCTAAGGAAACAAGTGGAGAGACAAGGAATTTCTTTTAATTCCTTTTACCTTTTTTGACTTCTCTAACCACCTGCTAGCAAGCATTTGACATCCACTTTTTTCTGCCATCATGAAACCAACATGCTGACACTGATATAACGCAAAGCTGAAATACTTTGGAAGTAGCAGAATTAATTTGTTTAGAGGATCAGAATAAAGATTTCACACCTTTAACAGAGATCGAGTCCTTGGAAGGTACAGATGAGCAAGCATGCTCTTCTTAACAAAGACATGCAGTTTTGGGACCCTCCATTTGCACATTAGCGGAAATTCTACTGGCTTTCAGCAAAATCTAGGCATTTACTGCCTGAGGTATCTTTGAAAATTTCTGCTAAATCACTCTAATGTAAGTAAATGTGCAGCAGCAGGTTGGAGATCTATGATGCAATGAATCCAGGAGAAAAGGGACTGAGGTCTCGCTTGTCTTGGCAAGCAACTGCAGCATCCACATGGTCAGCTAATCTCAATTTCTCCCTCATGAGGTAAAGGAGATTTTAAAATGTGCACAGTGGCCTATGCATTTCTGGTACAGGAGTTTTCAACATGTTTGGCCTCACTGCTTTTCAGGATATTCTAAATGTCCCTAACACCACTGATCACCCTGAAGAGTTTTCCCCAGCTGTTGTTCCAAGTTTTAAGTATGCTGTGCTGTTGTGTACAAAGAATGTCCGTGTGTCACAATGCAGGGTTGTACATGCATACGCACGTAGCTCAGGTACAAGAAACTGAAACCATGCTGTCGATACAGACCTACCCAAGGACTTTTTCCTTGTAAATGTACTACCTTTTCTGCAAAAATCACTGGAGCAGCAATAAGCACAGGCCCCACAAAATCATTTTTGCCATCATTCATTGAAGAACAGCTCCAGTTTCAGCCATCACATCCATAAGAAAATAATAGCTGGACCTGTTAAAATGCAAACACTCAAAAAGATACAGCAGTTACCTCAGAGAGCCACTTATCTTCCACAAAAACTTTCAGCACTTGTTCCGCTTCCTTTTTCTTCATTTTCTTTGTCTTAAGTTGGTCAGCCAAGTTTAAAATATCTGTAGAAGAGGCAAAGCCATTTTCTGATAAAATGATTAGGTCCATCTACAGAAAGAAACATTTTCAACTATTAAAAAAACCCATGCAATTAGATAGACACACCTTATAGTAATGTGCAGTTTTTTTAGCATCCATACATATGAGATGTACTACAGTATATGGCTTGAACCAGAATTGTACAACAAAGGCCAAAACCTGAAACAATCATTGTTAACTTGACAGTTTTAATCTTTGCCAAGGAAACATTTCCACAAATGGAACTGTATAGTGCTGCCTAAATGAAGCTGCATTCAGGGACCCTTGAGCGTACTCAGGGGTGACAGATCTGTTTCTTTTCATCTGTTCTTTGTCAAGGTTCTTCTGAAGAAAAACATCTCACTACTAAAGTAAGTTTGTCCACTCTGGAGTCATTAGTACTGCTGAACCTACCTGGCACTTGAAGGTTGTAGCAGTATTACCAATCTTCAGAGAACCTCTCATTGGAAACATTCCGGCTGCTCATTATCACAGAGCAGCATGCAGAGCTTTTATGCCAGTAGTAACACGTGCCATGACAATGCCATCTCTGCAGTGCTGACATGGCTGTATAGGTGCTTCGCCAATAATGGGGGAGGGCAGGGAAATCTCTGGGTATTATCCATGTAGATTAGACTTTTGCAGCTGTCACAGAATAGTCAATACACTTCTCTTTCCAGTTATACAGAAAATCTTAATTTTAATGAGTAGGCAAAAAAAAATTTAAAAAGTCTAGTGACTGGAGAAATTAAGTCCTCAGAGTTCAAGACACTACGAGAACAATTCACTAAAACAT